CTGGGCCGCGCGGGCAGACGAGGCGGTTGGTTTTGCGGGGTTTATGCTTCCAGTTCCCTCTGCTAATTGTGGCTGCCAGCTCGGTGGTGGCTGGGTTCAAGCGGGGGCGCTGACCAGAGTCTCCAATGCGCCCGTAGGCAGGATGTGAGTCTTGATAATGTCGCGCATGCGCGCGTTGAGGCTGAGGTCGCGGGTCTGCCTCGCGACGGGGCGCGGGGCGGCGCGGAACTTTCGCGAACTCTCTGTTCGTGTTGCGTCGTTCCATTGGGCCGCGCATAGGTTGCAGCTGCCGTCGACTTGCCGCAGCGCAAGAGCAAAGCCCACCTGGGCGCCCGATCGGGTCTCCATCGAAACGCCCCCCGAAGGGGTTTCGATCGTCATCGTAGTCACATCGATGCCCCCCGACCGCGCGACCCCTGCCCCGTTCGTCGGCCTGCTTGAACGCCACTGCTTGTAGGAGGCGCTCGTCAGTAGAAGCGAACGCATTAGAGCAGTCGTAGTTCGTGTAGACAGTGCTGTAGCCTAGCTGCTCGGCCTTCCATGTCGCGGCCATCAAGGTAGCAAGTGCGCTTCCCCGACATCTGTGGGGCAGCCCTCCCTGCGCCCATCCCCCGTGCTCATAGGCGCGCCGCGCCTATGTGTGCCCGCGAGCCGCGACGTGCCCACGCTGCAATTCGCGCGCATAATACGCTTCCCAAGAATTCCAGGTTGTCCTCTTGTCTTGCCCGCGCCAAGCGCGTGCGACCGATGCCAATCCAAGACTGCGTACTTCGGCACATAAGCAGGACATCCATGAGCCGTCTCGCGGCAGCGCGGTGCTCTCGGCCCCGCTGCTTGACGTCCAGTCCAGCCCTAGGTCCCCTGCCCACTGCGTAGTTGTTGACAAGGCTGGCAGGATTCGTAGGCACCCCTCCTCGCATCCCAAGACCTCCTCCCGTCTACCCCAACCGTTCCAGTAGCTCCCGTTCCTTCTGCAAACGGCGCTCGACTGAACGGCGTGCTACGTCCTCCTCGTCGTCCCCCGTCCTGCTCGCTCTCGCCTGCGCGCCTGAGTCGGTCGGGTCCCCTGGGTTGATTCGCGGGTCGAATAGAGGGGGCGCGATTTCGACTGGGGGGCCCCACGACGGCCAGGCCCTCCCCTTCTTTGCCGTCTTACAATAGCGTAACACAGAAGCATGGTCGTCTGCGGCCCTTTGGCGTAGGTCCCGATCGATCGGTGGCGGCAGCTCTGTCGAGTAGTGCGTTCCCCGCTCCTGTAGCTGCTTTTCTAGATTAATCGCCTGCGCACTGAGTCCACCGTCGCGGGGGTGTTTCGCAAGCTCGGCCGCCCATTGATCTGCCGACCAATGCGTTCTGGAGGAAAAGAAGTACCTGCGCTTGGGCCCTCGACCATCGCCCGGCATGAATCCGAAGACGTCGCATCTCAGCACAGCCCCCCCCCGCCCCGAAGCCCCCCAAATCTCCTCTCCACCAAACGGGCCTTTTCGTGATTTCTCCTAGCTTTCGCGAACCTGTTTCAGCACACTGGTGACCTCAGACAGCTGCGCTTTCACCTGCTCCAGCTCGTCGTCGGTGACCCCTGGGCCCAGGCGCTGTCTGATAGCTCTTCTCTGCTCCGGGAAGTCCATCCGCTGAGCCTGCATGCCTAAAGAAGCGTCGTCCTTCTGCTGGTGCTGTGATCCGAACGCATGATGAGCAAGTGCTCTGACTGCCTCCCCGTGCCGGCACCGCGCTCTGTCTGGAGTCGGCTCGTCGATCAGCTTTCTCCACCCCTCCTCCTCGAGCTTGGTCATATCCTCCTCGATCCAATCCAGCACCTCCTGCCTCCCGAAGCCCTTCCTCAAGCAAAACATAAATTGGTCCCCGTCTAGTCGCGTCTCCCTCCGTGGTGGGCAGCGAGAGGCATGTCGAACCCGTGCATCGATCACCATCCCTATCGGCACATGGTCCCTCGACCCTCTGGACCTCATCAGCTGCAGTCGCTTCCCAGAAGTGTGTAGCGCGATGCATTTCTGAACCAGATGGGCCGCGCCTTGGGGGATGGTAAAGTGGTCAATCCTACTTGTGCCACCCTTGGGGCCAAAGAGTGTAGGGCCTGGGCCTTCGGCTGCAGTAGCCACCATGAAGTCACTAGTCTGGCAGAATTGGCGAAAATGCACACCATTGTCGTCCTCAAACATAACGGCATGGGGCCCGAGGCAGCTGGCCATCGTCTCGGTCACCGTCCCATCGCTGGCACGGTGAAGCCCAAAGTCGGGGTTGATGCCCCCCCCACGATCGTGAGTATGCGTGCGCCCAGTTTGTCCGTGGCACCTCCAGCCATTCACTGATGCGCCGTCCCACCTCCCCGTAATGCTTAAGGTGTGTAGGTGCACAGTACGCCGAAGAGAGAACCACGTCGCAAGTATGTAGCGCCAACTTAATCCCACCCACCCGTCCCTGCAGCAGCCCTGGTGGTTGACAGATTTCCCTAAGGCGCTGTTTGAAAAACGATTCATGGACCAAGAAGGCGAGACCGCAGGCCTTAGTGACATACCTACTCTTTCGAGCTCCCATCCGTAAACACCAGTGGTGGGGAAGCTGCACACATTGCGTAGCCTCTGCGTTCGTCGTCTCCCCTGTGCCACACACTAAGACTACATCCCAGGTCCGCAGTTCCGCGCTAATGTCCGAGAGGCGTTCGGCTATACTCGCAGCAAAAAGTTAAGGTTGTACGAGATAATACGCATGGCTAACGTGTAATAGTGTGATGCGGTTCCACCCTTCGCTCACCTGGCCTCTGCGGGAAGAGGGGCGCGTCGTAAGGAAGGTAGATAGGTGTGCCTGTCGCGGCCGAGCGCACCTCCTGATCCCCTCGCGGCGGCTAGGAGGAGGAGGACGAGGAGGAGGAGCGAGAGGAGGAGGAGGAGGAAGTGCCCCTGGCCCGAGGTGCCCCAGGATTTCCAAGGAGGCCCCCACGGCCTCCAGAGCACCCCTCACGAGGCCCAGAGGGCCCCCGAAGGGGCCTCAAAAAGAAGCAAAAAGCTGGGGGCGCATAGGGCCAGGGGCACCCTCAGCAACCCCCGAGTCGTGTGGGCCCTCCAGAAGCCCCGACCCCTTCTCTCTCCATGACCAGCCCGTTATCACGAATGATTTCCCATGGTCCTGGGCCCTTCGAGAGGCCAGAACTGGTATCCCTAAACAAAAACGAAATTAGCTTGGCCGACAGCGCGGCCATTACTTCCAGAACGCGTTTCCTCCAGGGCCTGCAAGTATACTTGAAGTAACAGGGGCCGCCAGTGCGGCCATACGTTATATACTTGAAGGGCTGCAGGGCCTGCGAGTACTTGGAGGCCTGGGGCCGTAAGCGCGGCCATACTTCCAGAACGCGCTTCCTGCGTGCAGAGCCAGGGGAGCCCAAAATCGAATGGACAAATCAAACCGGCGACCGAAATGGATCGGATCGGCAGAAATCGGCAGCCGAGTCGGAAAAAGTCGAAACGGCGGAAATCGGCGGGCTAGCAAACCTCCAACAAGAAACCGGAGCCCAAATCGGAATCCCATGTCGAATCTCATCGGAATCGGAAGCAATCGAAATCAAAGCGAATCGAATCGGAGGAATCGAAATGAGCCCTGCAGAGCGTCGCGCGCTCCTGAAAGGCCGCTGAGGGCCAGCAGCTCTCGGCTCCAGCACCCGACGCGGATCGCGCCATCATCCACGCTGTTCGGCATCCAGCGGGCAGCAGAGGCGGGGCAGAGAGACTAGGTAACCACCCTGGACCGTGGAACAAGCACGATGTGTTGTGCCAGGGGGCCCCTGCAATGGCGGCTAGTCCACAAGAAACCTCCCACAACAAACCCAACTCTGAGACCCCAGGAAGTCCATTGGTTTTTGGCGTGGGAACATCGCGCTCTCCATCGCAAAACCATCAACACCCAACAAACCCAGGGCACCCTGGAGGCAAGAAGGGTGTTTCTTGGCCTGGGTTTTTACTGTACTGGATCCCAGGACCGTCAATAACAACTCTGCCACCGTGCCGCTTGGCACGGAGCGCGCGTGTCCTTAGGTCCTTTGACCAATCCCCTGAACCTCAGTCCTCACTCTTGAATGTCTTCAAATGGGCCCGGAGCCGAAATCACATCTTCTTCCCGTTCCCGCCCATCACCATTGTCACTCCCGTCCTACTTATCCTCCTCCTCCTCCGCCTCCTCCTCCTCATCATGATCATCACCATCCTCCTCTTCCTCCTGCTCTTCTTCCTCTTCCTTCTCCTCCTCCTCCTCCTCCTGCTCTTCCTCTTCCTCCTCCTCCTGCTCCTCTCCCCCTTCTATATTCGGGGGGCACGGACAAATATCCAAGGGCACCGCAAAGCACGAACACGTCGCAACTGTGCGGGCAGCTTGGCAGCGCTTGGGGCAAACGCGGCCTCGCCCGTCGATGTCTTTGACTTTTTTCTTCTTACCATTATTACTATAATTCTAAACGGCGCTCCTCATCTTCGAGGTTCTCGAACTCCAGAACCCGAAATGGGCGGGCCCTACGGAGTGCTCAGGAAGGCACAGACGCGCCCCTTCTTCAAGACGAGGCTCTGGAGTACCGGGGCGGGCCTCTCTCCCGGGCTGACGCGAAAGAGCACCGTTCCGAGTGGGAGGCGTGGCCAGCGCTGCGGCGACTGGCGGAACCGTGCTACAAACATGGTGCAATTCGGTGGCATGTTTTTGCTGCGCGCTGCTGCGCCATCACCCCAGGAAGCCTTAAGATACACTCCGCTCACACCAGCGTGCTAAGCCGGGTCGGTCAACTGCACGCCCCCCGGAAAAAAAGGGGACACGTGCAGGGGCCAGCGAAACTGATGACACCGCGGCTCCTCCTGAAGAAGTCCTCTAAGAGCAGGAGGAAAGCAGCAACGTCGCACTTTTCTGAACGATTGGCGCGCGTCGTCTACGCGACATGGTATTCACGCCGTTCTAGCGGAAGTTCTGCGCCGCTGATGCGATTCAGCGCGAGGCTGCTCATCCGATTAGACTGGCCCTTCTGCATGCAACTTCTGCACCCACGCCGCGACAAGCCACGAACTTTGCATGCCCACACCCTTGCAAAACGAAGGACCATGGGCGCGAGACCATCCCACGGAGGAACCGTCACCGTCTCACAGGGCTCAAAACCTTCTCACATGGGAGGCCCGAGACCCTCTCACATGGGAGGCCCGATACCCTTCCACATCGGAGGCCCGAAACCCTCTCACAAAAAGGCGCGAAGCCCTCTCACAAAAAGGCGCGAAACCCTCTCACAAGATGCTCGAAACCCTTCCACGGAAAAGCCCGAAACCCTCTGACAGGGAGGCCCGAAACACTCTTGCAAGGTGCCCATAACCCTATTACCGTGAGGCCCGTGACCTTTTCGCAGGGTGGCCCTAAACCCTCTTGCTTTGGGAGCCGAAGCCCTGTCACTGTGATGCCCTATGACCTGACACTGCGTGGCCATGAACCCTGTCAATGTGACGCCTAAGGATAGGACAAGTCTTACACGCCGGTCGTGGGAAGTAGATAAAAACATGAAATAGAAGGCGGAAGAAACCGCGTCGCTCGTCGCCGAAAAAATGAAACCCGCTGCTGAAGCACGGTGGGTCTCCGTCATGCCGACGTCCCGCAAGTAAGGAATGAAAGCCGAGAATCATGAGTGAACTTGTGCGTCCGTATCTACGTGCACTCGTTGATTGCTGTTACAGTTGAGCCTGATTGTAGAGGACAAGCGAGAGGACACAAAACCCTTTCGAGGGCAAACGCTGCCACAGAAATGCAAAAGGCATGGGCCGCGAAACTCAGGACACGAGGGTAGCCTTGACTTGGCAGGGTCGACCTACTAATCAAACTCGACTGTATTCACTGTGAGCCGTAGTCGCGGCATTTGCATTGCATGCGCAATGGTATTGCATGGCGCTGGATTTGAGTCGTAGGTGTGGGCTTGGTCGGAGTGTGTGGTATTTGTTCTGAACGGCCACGCTGGAATTCAGAGCGTGGATGGATGTGGCAAGATAAAGCGGTAAGAACAGCATGAATTGCTTGGCGCGTTGGCTGGCAGCATCAAGACCTGCTATTAACGACAAGTTCAATACACTGCCGACTGACTGCCAGTCAACTGGTTTCAGTGCCGACTGGCTGCGCTCAAATATGAGGGGAAGCGAATTCGGGATGCCGCCGTCGAGGCCGCCTGAAATTCGCCCAGCATGCATTTGCTCAGCAGCGTGGCAAAACTGAAATCTCGAGTGCTTTTTGGAACAACTTCGCCATCACCGTGGGGAATGGCATGCACGAGCGATGTTGAGCAGATGGAGAAGGAGAAAGGCGGGACAGAATAACGTGTGGGGAGGGGAAGGGCGAGTCCAGGTGGGAACGGGCAACGGCGCCGTGCTTGCAACCCTTGTGGTCCGACTGACTGAACATGATCTTAGACGATCTCTGAGTACGATAATCCGAGCCCTACAAAAACAATGGAGTGGTGCAAAACATCGCGCTGAAAACTGAATGGTGCTAGCTTCTAACTGCGGCGCCTGGTCGGGCTCTGCCGCATCAGAAGAGCCATCCGCTCATGAATGAAGTGGACAAGACCACGGCTCATCTCGGCTGAACCGTCGTCCTGCGACAACGGCTGCCTGCATGGCCTATAGCCGAAGAGAAGCCCTGGCACCTTCGACAGACCTGTCCATCAATGCTATGTAAGGACAATGTGGCGAGACAGATCAAAAAACAAAACCCTGCCGTGCGACAGAAAAAGCCTTACGGGCATGTTGACACAACCGTCGTATCTGGTAGTGTGGCGGGCATGGTGGTGCGGCTCCGCGAGAACATGCCATCCGACTCATCGTTCCTCGGCACACAATTAACGACTTCGTAAATCTTTCTGCTGACTCCTACCGCAAATGGTCTCGCTTGGGGGACTCGCCATCTCGCGAAGACAACCGAGTAGCCATAACGGTGCGCATGTAACTACCCTGCAACGAAGAACGCTCTGAGATTTCGCCCATGCGCTCCATGACGCCATCACCCATGGACGCCAAGCCGTCGACCATGCTTTTGCACTTCTCGCGCTTCGATCTGCCTGGCCTCAACCGGCGAACCGCGTCATGCTCCAGGTGGCAGAACTGGCACGCATCCTGGGGCAATCAAAAGGTACCCATACCGCTTCTCCCTGGACCTCTCCTGGGGTGCGTTCTGACCAGAATTTCCTCGGCGAGTCCAGCGGTGGCGACGAGGGCCTCCCAGGAGGCCCACGCAGGGGAAAACGGCCGGAGGGTAGAGGTATGGGCAACTGTTCCTCCTCTGACATCCTTCTCGGGGCAGACGCCCCTCTTCACAAAGTAGCGGCAGGGCCTGCACTGGCCGTTGTCGTGCAGCTCCCTCGGGCCCACGGGCGCCGCTGTCCCGGCGGCTGCCCCGCTGGGCTCTGGAAGAAGCAAAAACGCCACTTGAGCACAAACTGCTGGCGCTCCGCGCAGATGCTTCGGATCTGCGCTGCACGGGGGCCCAGCGCGGATCAAAGAAGTCCGCGCGGAGCGCCAAAATAGACGAGCGCGTTCCACTACTCGCAGAGAGACTGCTCGCAAATGGCCTGGATCCGCCGGGGGGATCTACGAGAAACTACATCGAGGCAGACTTGCGAGTAGGCACTCCGCGAGTAGTGGAACGCGCTCGGTGCCAAACGTTCAGCTCTCTGGCGCGGTTTCCTCTTCGAGGGCTCGCCCGCTGGAGCCCTGCTGCCGGAGCTCCCGCCCTCCTGCGACGGCGCGGCCGCCGTCGCCTCCCCGGCCGCCGACGCCTCCCCGGCCGCCGGGGCCCCCGCGGCGGCGCCGGAGCCCTCCCGCTGGGCGCCTTGCGGCTGGCCTCAGGTCGGGCGTGTCCCCCTACAGGCGGATTCTGGACGAACAGTGGAACTAACTCCAAACATGTTCCCAAATAGCACAAGACAGAGAATCGACTAGAATCGTCCCCGTCTTTACAATATTTTGACTATTTGTTTTACGTGCTCCCCGTATGTTTTTGGTATTCTGGCTAATTCTGACCATTCTTGACAATTCTGAACTCTTTGTTTTACTACGTTTGGAATTATTTTTGTTCCTTTTGGAGATGTTGACTACTGTTGACTATTTTTGGCTATTTTTTGACACGCCCAACGTCGGGCTGGCCGCCTCCGCTCGCCTCGCCGCCCCGCTCACCGTCGCTGCGGCTGCTGTCGTCGCAGAGCTGCACCCCCGCGAGCGCCGCCGCCGCCCTCGCAGCCTGCTCCGGCGGCCCGGAGCTGGAGCCGCTGCTACGATGCTCGACCTGGCGGCCTTCCTGCCCAAGCCATGATCGCGTCGTGACAAGAACCAGGGCTGGAAAGTTTTGGCCATTTTCGCCCCCGGGGGGCCCTCGCCGGGCCTCGGGAGCGTCAAAAGACTGCTCAGGGTGAAAACCCGGTCCTGGGGAATGGGTCCAGACCTTAAGGGGGTCGCGTCATGAAAACATAGTGACGTCGGGGGTCCTGCGGCCCCTCGCTCCACTCTGAAGGGGCCCAGGGACACACAAATAAATACCCGCACGAATCACAGGATCCCCCACCTTTCCCAATATTTTCTGGGTTTTCGTCTTCACCCCCACTTCCAATATCTTCCCATCATTTCCTTGGGATCTACGATTAATTGTGTCTGTGTTTTTTTCCCTCCTGACACTCATGCGTCGGTAGGGGAGCGAAGAGTGACATAAACAAAAAACTCAGAGGTCCGCGCGGGTTTCTCGGATCCGCGCTGGAGCCCCTGGGCGGCGCCTCCGGCGCCGCCCAGGGAGGGAGGGTCCAGCGCCGATCCGAGAAATCCGCGCGGATCTCCGAGTTCGCACGTTTATGTCATTCTTCGTTCCCCTATTCCTGCGGCCACTCGGTCCACTCCCGCGTCGACCCTGCGTCGAGCGTCCGTGGCCTCGAGTCGAGCTTGAGTCGAGCCTGGGTCGAGCTTGAGTCGAGCTCGAATCGAGCTCGAGTCGAGCTATGGAACCGAACTGGAGTCGCACTGGAGCCAACCAGTTCCATAGATTGGGTGGCTCCCAGGAAGGCCCCCAGAGCGAGCATCACATGCTGCCCTCGCTGGCGCTCAGCTCCTCCAGCCGCCCCCAGACCTTGTGCAGCGGCTGCTCGCGGGCGGGCTCGTCCTGCGCGCCGCCGCTGCCGCAGGGTCCCTCCTCGGGGGGCCTGCTGCTCACGGACGACATCCCGCGCCCGGGCTCCGGCAGCCCGTGCCGGCTGGGAGGCACCGCGCGCCCGGCGGGGGCGACGGGGGCCGCGGCGGGGTCCATGGACCATGAAGGATTCGAGCTGGAAGAAGATCGGCGATTGACAAACCTCCATTTCGTAAACCTCCCTGTGTAGCGAAAACAGCTTACAAGACCGAAGCCGACGGACCCGGACTCGCAAAAATGACGGCCGCGAGACGCCCTCTCGCGAACCGAACGCAGCCAATTCGCCAATCGACGTGTCAGAGTAGGAGGTCTGAACCTCCGAGAAGAAAGAACACACCATGAACATAAACGTCTGGCGCTCCGCGCGGATGTCTTTTCCTGGACCTGCGACGCTGGCCCTCTCGTGGACCTGCCGCGGGGAGGGCGCGCCGCGGGGGCTGCGCCGGAGGCGGCGCCGCCTGGGCCCGGCGCGGATCCAAGAAACCCGCGCGGAACGCCAACAGTTTAAGCCTGGGGCGGTATTCCTCCGAAGGTATGATTCGAGCGGCTCTTGGGCCAAGACGGCTATTGAGCAGTCCTGGGGCCTGGCCAGGTCCTGGCTCTGTCCTCGTGGGGGCTCTGGCGTGTAGTCCTGGCGGGGCCCTGGTCGGACGGGGGGCGCCGGCGGCGGAGCGGAGCTGAGCGGAGGCGCAAGGGGCCCCGCCGGAGAGGTTGACGAGCAGTGAGAATTGGCGGTGCGCAGAGGGAGGTAGGGGGAGGGGGAAGGCTCCCCAGATCCTGCAAAATCCTGCAGGATCCTGCGCCCAAACCCGGGTCAATGCATCCCTGGCTCTGCAGGATCCTGCAAGACCTGGCGCCCTGACTGAACCCCCGTTTGCATGGACCTTCGTCTCAAGGCTCCCGAAGGAGGCTGCGTCTTGGAAAGCGCCGGCCCTACAGCCATAAACAGTCGGGGGCGCGCAAAAATGGATCGGGGGAGGTTCCCTCCCCAAAATGCATCCGGAGCCGCCTCGCTCGGCAGCGGAAATCCGCGATTTCCCGTGGAAGCGGGGCCCGTCGCTGTAATCCACGCCCCCTGGATCCGTGTTTGCAATCGCCTGAGACGGGGCCCGCGCCCTCTGAGAAGTACGGGTGCTTCTAAGCAGCCCTCCCCCTACCCTCAGGTCGGGCATGTGCCCCTACAGGCGGATTGTGGACGAGCAAAAAAATGCCAAACATATACGTAACACCCCGCAATTGCGGATAAAAGTGAGGGGGCGGGCGCGGGCGACGCGGGCGTCGTCGAGCCGGCGGACCTCGTGGCCCCCACCTTCCTTGTCGATGGCGCTCTCCTCCACCTCCTCCTCCTCCTCCTCCTCCTCTTCCTCCTCCTTCTCCTCCTCCTCTTCCTCGTCCTCATCGTCATCGTCATCCTCCTCCTCCACCTCGTCCTCCTCCTCCTCCTCCTCTTCTTCCTCGTCCTCCCTCTCCCCCCCTCGTCTTTTCATCATGGTCCTCCCATTGTCGTCCTCCCCCTCATCGGCCTCCATCATCGTCCTCCCATTGTCGTCCATCATCATCATCCTCCCCATCCTCCCCCTCCTCGTCCTCCTCCTCCCCCTCCTCCCCCTCCTCCCCCTCGTCCTCCTGCTCCTCCTCCTTTTCTTTTTCCACGTTCTCCTTACATCCTCTCTTCTTCCACGTTCTCCTCGTCCCCTGTTTACTCATCCTGCCTCCCCCTCCTTTCCCAAGATAACTGCAACGCAATCTTTTTTCCCACTTTATGCTCCCCGCCTTCTCTGATCAAGGCAACTCGCCAGGGCAAAGTTGCTGGACGGGCTGGCGTGGATGTGCGGGGCGTGAAGAGGTCCTTGCGGGCTCAGACGGCATGCAAGAATCCGCCGCCGCGCTTGTGCGGCACTGGTTTGTTCAGTGAACGTGGTTTAGGTCGCGGGTGGGTCGCGGGCTCTCCACCTCCACCTGGAAGGAATGCAAAAGCAGCCCGCCGCAAGCGCCAAAAAAATTGGTTCGTACACGGAACGAGGTTTGGGTCGCGGGTGGGCCGCGGGTTCTCCACAGGGAACGAATGCAAAGGATGCCCGCCGCAGGCGCCGAAAATGTGGTTTGTACCCTGAACGTGGTCGCGGGTGGGCCGCGGGCTCTCCACCTGAAACGAATGCAAAATATGCCCGCCGCAGGCGCCGAAAAATGTGGTTTGTACCCTGAACGTGGTTTGGGTCGCGGGTTGGTCGCGAGTTGGTCACGGGATGTGTCGCGGGCTCTCCACTTGGAAGGAATGCAAAAAAACCCGCCGCAGGCGCCGAAAATTGTGGTTTGTACCTTGAACGTGGTTTGGGTCGAAGGTGGGTCGCGGGTGGGTCGCGGGGTAGGTCGCGGGTGGGTCGCGGGTGGGTCGCGGGTGGGTCGCGGGTGGGTCGCGGGTGGGTCGCGGGTGGGTCGCGGGTGGGTCGCGGGGGGGTCGCGGGGTGGGTCGCGGGGTGCGGTCGCGGGTGGGTCGCGGGTGGGTCGCGGGGTGGGTCGCGGGGTGGGTCGCGGGGTGGGTCGCGGGTGCGCGGGTGGGTCGCGGGTGGGTCGCGGGGTGGGTCGCGGGGTGGGTCGCGGGTGGGTCGCGGGGCGGGTTGCGGGTGGGACGACGACAACAAACAACAACAACAACAAACAACAACAACAACAACAAGAATCCGCACCGCGGAATTCCACATCAGCCACGCACCCAGGGACAGTGAATGACCGTTCGGCCCCCTCACTCTGATAAAAATCGTGATCCCTAGCGGGTCTATAGGCGTGTGAGATAGCTCCCTCCCATAATCTCCCCCCCCGGACCTCAAACCGCCCCCCCCCCCCCCCCCGGCCGGGCCCGGCACGACCCCGGACAATGCGCGCCAAGGGGGGGCGGGTCCAAAATGAGCCAGGAAGGCACCAAGACGCCTCCTAGACTGCCAAAACAGCCCACGAAGCCCCCAAGACAGGCCAAGAGGGCCCCCAGACGGCTCCAAGAGGGAGACCAGAGGGCACCTTTTCGAGCCCTCGGCCCCGACACGCCCACAGCGTGCCCCAAGAACACCCCAAGAGGCCCTGAGGGACCCCCAACAAAACCTCAAAGGCCTCCAAGAAGCCCCCAGGGAAGCCCCCAAGAGGCCCCAAAACTTTGCCCAAGATGCCTCGAGGCGGCCGGAGATGGCATGCAGACAGGCCAAGATGCCACCAGAAGGCCACAAAAGAGCACCAAGATGTACGATAACAGCAACGAAGCAACAGGAACGATATCGAGCGCCGTGACATGATTCGGACAAGCCTCATGAAATGCAGTCCTGGAGGCGCAATAGTTTTTATGTGGGTCGTCGGATGTGGCGTAAGCCTATAGAACCGTTCAAAACGAATTGTAAACAATCGTCCCTTGACAACTCCCAAATATCCTAAGATGGGGTTATTGTTATTACTCGGACGCCGCCGACTCCAGAGAGAACACACCTACTCATGCACAGACTTACTCATACTCAGAACTACTCATACTCATACCTTATCATGGTCTGACTTACTCAACACACAACATGTAGGCCTACTCATACTCAGCCTTACTCATGCTGGGACTCCTTCATACCCAGACTTACTCATACCCAGACTCGTTCCCAGACCTGCTCATACACAGACTTACTCATACTCAGAACTACACATACTCAGACCTTCTCATAGTCTGAGTTGCTCAACGCACGGACTGAGACCTACTCGTACTCAGACCTAGTCATACTCAGACTCGCAAGGGGAGCCGCCAGGGGTGTTTTCACCGGCCCGTTCGCGGCCAGTTTGTGGGGATGTCTCAGGCGGTTTGCTCGTTTTCATGCCCAACATCCTTTGCTTTCAGAGCAGATGGTGAGGATGTCTCAGGCGGGGCGCTGGTTTCAGCACCCCCAAGGGGAGCCGCAAGGGGTGTTTTCACGGGCCCGTTCGCGACCAGTTTGTGGGGTGTCTCAGGCGGTTTGCTCGTTTTCATGCCCAACATCCTTTGCTTTCAGAGCAGATTGTGAGGATGTCTCAGGCGGGGCGCTGGTTTCAGCACCCCCAAGGGGAGCCGCCAGGGGTGGTTTCACGGGCCCGTTCGCGGCCAGTTTGTGGGGATGTCTCAGACGGTTTGCTTGTTTCCATGCCCAACATCCTTGGCTCATGTCGCCCATGTGGACGCGCTATTACAGTCAAACGCTCATGAACAAACGCTCACTATGGCATGAAATAAAACATGAGATGCACATATGGGGAGCTCCACGCAGTGAGTAATTGTTAGAGTATGTTTGGATATTCCTCCTGCTGCTTAACCCTACCCCCCCTCTGCGCGTGTCCCACAAAGAGAGAGAGATAGAGAGAGAGAACAACACATATATATATAGAGAGAGAGAGACAGAGAGAGAGAGAGAGGGCGGTGGCAGGCGCCCCCGCCCCGGCTGCCGCAGCTTTCTGGCCCGTGGGCGCTGCCCCCGCGACATCCGAGCGGCGATAGAAAAAAGGGCGTCCTCCCCCTCAGCCTCATCGTCCTCCTCCTCCACCCCCCTCCTCCCTCCCCTCTCCTCCCTCCTCCCTCCTCTCTCCTCCTCCTTCTCCTCCCTCCTCCTCCTCCTCCTCCTCCTCCTCAGCCCTCCTCCTCCGCCTCCTCCCTCCTCCTCCTCCCTCCTCCTCCTCCCTTCTCCTCCTCCTCCGGGACATCCGACGAGACACATCCATGGCAGATTCAAGACGAGCCTTGTAACAAGCAGCGCAATCCCTCGTAGCGCGGACCCGCACCTCACACACCCGAAACAGAAGGCTTCCTCATCGGCTCAGGAAGGAAGCATAAGTTAGTTAAAAGCCTGTGTCCCCTAGGCCTGTTGTTCGTGAACTAAACTGGGCCATGGCCTGCTGAAGCCTTGGCAGGCCAGTCTGCTCTTGCGAACCTTCGTCATGCTGTCCTTACAAGTCCAAGCCAGACAGCTGGCACATACCCCTTTAGCCTGCATTCAAAACAAGGCGTGGGCGCGAAGCTCCTGCCCCTCGCCTTCCCAGGGTGGAGGAAAACGACGGCGACCACGAGGCTCCGACGGAGGATTCTCTGTCCCTCTCCTGCCCCCTCTCTCCCCGCGTTCTGATGTCTTTTCTGCCGTCGTTCACCTTCTCACCGTTTACAGCTTATCCCACCAGCCGTCGACTACTGGAGCGACTGCTCCAGGATTCGCGTGGCTCATTAGTTTGATCAAACCTCCAGGGCCGACCAGTCCTGAGGGGGGGGGCAAGGCAACGTCCCAAGGCCACGCTGACGGCGCTGTTGGTGAACGGTGATGCCAGGAATCTGGTTTTTGCGACACCGAACTCGCGCAGAACAAATTGTAGGACATCGCCAACAGCACTTCCCGACATTTCACCAACACAAAAAAACATCGAGCAACAACGCCACCGTGCCTTGCAGGAAAACACGAACCACGCGTTCCTGCAATTGGCTTGGCCACGAACCGGCGACACATGCAATACCGAAACCTAGAAAGGGGTTCCAGGACACACACAAAGAAAGACACACGCACAAAGCCCAGGATTCCTCTATATGTTCTAATATTGTCTGGGTTTTCGTCTTCCCCCAACTTCCCAAATTTTCCAGTGTTTCCTGGGAATCGACAATCAATTGCGTCTGTGTGTGTTTCGTTCCCTCCTGAAAAATCGCCACTAGCGTGTCTGAGGACATCCGCTGGATCTTCCTGCCATCAGCCCGCAGTCCACAAGAGAGGCCCCGCTGGAGAGGCGAAAGGAGAGCAGGGGAACGGGAGAGACCGTGCGCTGGCTGTGCGCGTCCACACGCGGGTCCGCCGAGGGTCCCGCGGCGGAGGGGCTCGGGCCAGCGTCTGGCGGCGTGTGCGCCCCCCGCACACGCGGCTCCGAGCCACCGCAGAGCGGAGAGGGAGGAGGAGGATGAGGATGAATGAGGAGGAGGAGGAGGAGGAGGAGAAAGAGGAGGCGGAGGAGAAGAGAAGCAGGAGGTTGAGGGCCTCCCCATCCTCCCTTTTCCCCCGTCCTACAGTGCCAGGCGAGCGGACCTAGCCAGCAAGTCCTGCTCAGCTGTCCCACGACAGCACCGCATGGCCCCACGCACGGCCCCGCACAAGCCCCGCGCCTGCTGGGGATGGGGAAACCAAATGGTACCAATACCGCTACTCCCCAGACCTCCCCAGGGGTGCTTTCTGATTAGAATTTCGAGGTGAATCCAGCGGTGGCCACGAGGGCCTCCAGGAGGCCCAAAGAGGGGAAAACGAGGGAAGGGTAGCGGTATGGGTACCTTTCCCTCCTCTTAGGGGAGCAAAGAAGCGAAACGAATGGGAGGGAAGCCCCATCCCCAAGTCCAGCACAGCAGAGAAGGCGGGCCGGTCCTTCGTCGGCTCCGGCTCTGTCTCTTGTCGCCGTCTTTCTCCTGAGTAGGCAGGCGCGCGCCACTACTCGCGAAAGAGATACTCGCAAATGGCCTGGATCCGCCGGGGAACTTGAGATCCACTACATGGAGGCAGACGTTTGTTTTCAGAGCCTCCTGCGAGCAGGCACTCTGCGAACAGTGGAGCGCGCCCAGTTGGAGGGGGGCGTCGGGGCGCCTGACCCGCTGGCGCCGGAGGCCCCCTGGGCCAAGAGGCAGGCGGGAGCGAGGACGAGGATAAGTTGGCGGCAAGCCTGGGGGGGACCGAGAAGTGGCGGGCCTTCTCATCGGGGCCCCGCTGACCCGGCTCGATCCAGGCCCGGGTCAGCCAGGCATTGCAGGATCCTGCAAGGTGCTGCAGGATCCTGCACGCTGGCCCGGGTCAATGCAGCCCTGGCTCTGCAGGATCCTGAGAGATCTGGCGCTTTGGCTGAACCTCGTTTGCATTGTCCCCCGTCTCTGAAGACCCGATCTCGAAGGCTCGGAAGTCCTCCGGCCTTCTGGGAAGTCTCCCACGCCTCCCCCAACGACACCGCCTCTGAGGAGTCCCGCCGCCCTCTGAGGAGGCCTTCTCCTTCCCCTCACATCCGACGTCGCGACAAAAAATACAACATCGCAAAATATCGCGACCCGAAAATCCGACCCCATCCGTCCGTCTGCGAAATTGCTCTCGCCGGATCGGTCTGTGAGGGTCCCGCGGCCCGAACGAAACTGGGCGAACAGGCCCGTTGTGAAAGAGATCGGAGGGTCGCCCGCTCCTTCTCATCCCGAGAAAGCATGATCCTTCTCATTTTCCCCCCCCGCTCGCCGCCGAAGGAACGGGGGAGGAGGAGGAGGAGGAGGAGGAGGAGGAGGAGGAGGAGGAGGAGGAGGAGGAGGAGGAGGAGGGGGAAAGGAGGAGGAGGGGGAAAGGAGGAGGAGGGGAGAGGAGGAGGAGGGGGAAAAGGAGGAGGAGGGGGGGAAAGGAGGAGGAGGGAAAGGAGGAGGAGGGGGAAAGGAGGAGGAGGAGGAGGAAAGGAAGGAGGAGGAAAGGAAGGAGGAGGAAAGGAAGGAGGAGGAGGGGGAGGACGGAGGAGGAGGGAGGAGGAGGGAGGAGGAGGAGAAGGGCCCGCACATCCCAGGTTCAGTCGGCATCGGACTGGGAAGTCGTGTCGGAGACCCAAGAGGGGCCCCAAGACGGCCCCTCAAATGGGCCCCAGGAGAGGGCACACGAGGCGAACAAAAAAATACAAGCTTCCCGCCCCAATAAGCCCCCAGGAGGCCCCAAGAGGCGTTCAAAAGTCCCCGAGAGGCCCCCAGGAAGGAGGGTGATCGCGAAATCCTCGTCGACCGTGGTTTATTATCCAGGAGTGATAAACCTAGGTTCATTATGTTCCGATGATACGCCCATTGGATTATTGGCCTGTGGATGGATCGGTGCCCCCCCCTCGCCGGATCATTCATTCCGGAATAATGCAGATGGGGTCGATATTCCGGCATTATGAACCAGGGTTGATCCCAGTTCAATATCCTTCTCAGGCGGCCCCCCCCTCCGCCAAATCATTATAATTCCGGAATAATGAACCTGAGCTTATTATTCCCTGGACATACGAACCCCAGTTTATGATGTTCTAGAGATAGCGGGCTAAGGTCAATATTCTAACATGATAAATCCCAATTGGAAACGCGGGGGTTGGGGGATACTTCTAATGATAATCAGTCCAGAATTAGGAATCCGGATTCAGAATATCCGCCTATGGCTCAGGCGACGCCCCTCAACCTCGATTATTACCATTCCAGAATTAGGAACCGGGGTTCATTATTCCCGAAACATAAATAGCCACAGGCAATATTCCCAGAACGTTATGAACCCAAATTAATCTCTTTGGGGGGTCGACATGCCCAGGCCATTAAAACAAATTTATAATGTTTCGGGGGGAACAATGTGAACCACGGCCAATACGTCCTGGAACATTAAAACTCAGGTTCATAATGTTCCGGGGGGGGGGCATTTATGAACCCTGGTCAACAATCCCGGAACATTATAAACCCAGGTTAATAATTGTTCTGGGTTCGTCCTGCCAGGAGGCCCCAACGAGGCCCCCTTCGAGGCCCGAAAAGCCTCCGAGAGGCCCCAAAACGGCCCCCGAGAAACTTCGAAAATGCCTCCAAGAGGCCCCACACGAGACTCCAACGAACATCCAACAGGCTACATACCCACAACTCAGGCACGCTGGCGGGATTGGCCGAAGGCCACTAGACACATATATATATATATATATGTTTTTACAAAAAAACATATGTATAAAACATGTACCACATAGCTTCGGTGTCGTCTTCGTCGTCGTCGTCGTCGTTGTCGTCGTCGTCGTTGTCGGCGTCGTCGAAGTCGTTGGAGACGTCGTCGGTGTCGTCGTAGTCGTTGTCGGCGGCGTCGTCATCGTCGTTGTCGCTGTCGTCGTCGGCGTCGCTGTTGTTGCCAAGTGCCATGTGGTACCCACCGTCACGGCCTTAAGAGATGTTGCAAACCAAGTTGCGGGTGGGTGGGTGGGATGTTTGCGCGAGCAGTGGAGTGGACAACTCACCGCGAACAGAAAATTAAATGCACCTCATAGCTTGTCCCGCACAGCTTGTACCACGTATCCCACACATCCAACAGACAAAATAACTCACAATCTGGGGGGGTCCACGCAGGCGAACGCGCGAGCTGCAAAAACAGGCACAACCGACACACGAGCTAGAATGACACAGTAGCCTAGCCTTGTCGGGCATGTCCTCCTACAGGCGGATTTCGGCGGAAGAATGACAAACAATCAGAAAAAATACCCCCAACAAGTAAAACATAATCACAGCATCGTCCACGACTATGTTTGACTACTTATGAATACTCCTCCGGTAGAGGGACACGCCCGACGTAACAGACGCCACAATTGGACACCTCGACCCACAAGCACGGCGCCTGCGGCGAGCGGCGGCGCATCCGAAAAGCGGACGGTTCGGCGGCGATGATCAAGGCGAATATCCTAGGGGCGGGCATTACAAGCATTCGCCCATGAGCCCCGCCGAAGACATGGACCGTCGGCGCACCTGGATACATGGATTGCTCCGCCCCTGGGCTATTCGCCCATATCGTCGCTTCTCCCGAGGGCCGTGGTCGACCTGAGGATTTGTGTTTTAACATCCACGGCAAGGGGGAAAACGAAAAACCGAGGGTCACAGAAGGGGACACAAAAAGAAGGGAACCGACACTCATCGGGGGAGATCAACCAAGGCCCAACGTCAACTGTAACACCGTCGAGCCTGGGATGCCAACCCGTGGAGATGCGGTTCCAGGCCCCGCTTTGGGGAAGGGTCTGCATTCGTTGCGCAGTCCGCGCACTTGCCCGCCGCTTGTGTGATACTTGCAGCGGGAGCATACAAAAACAAAAGAATTCTCCGAGCAGTCGATGAAAACCATCGAGAGTCCAAGGGACTGGAGGAGGGGCCCATCAAACCCACGGATTCCGATCCCAGGGCCACCTTGACAACAACCAGGGAGGGGCATTTGTTCAGCCCTGGATGCTCGGAAGCAACGTTCACACTGCCAGAACCTGGCTTGCCAGCTCCACTGGTGCGCAACTACACCTCTCTGCTGCTGAACCTGCTTCACCAAAGAGGCGCTGCTCAAATCTAAACGGAGCCACAGAGGGAGAAGCTTCCCAGCCAGGTCACAAACCAGCCTCGACACAACAAGCTGCTTGGAAAGCTTCTCGATATGCTTTGGGTCTGGCTGCGGGTGCCTTCAAGCCACAGTCTTGGCCAGCTGGTCGGCCACATCATTGGAGGAGGTGGAGGGGGAGGGGGAGGAGGAGAGGAGGAGGAGGTGGGAGGAGGAGGTGGGAGGAGGAGGAGGAGGAGGAGGAGGAGAGGAGGAGGAGGACGGTTTGCCTAAGCCCTTCGGAGAAACCCTCCAGTGGGCGGCGGCGTCCTGCGCCGCACCCTGCGCGCGCTGCTCGAAGACCGAGGGCCCCGCGGGCGCGGCGCCCGCGGGAGGCGCTGGCGCCGGGGCCGGCGGGGCGGCCCACGGCGGCGCGCCTGCAGGGCGGGAGGGCGGGACCGATCGGCGGCGGCCACCGCCAACGTGGCGGTCCTGTTCCTCCTCCTTCTCCTCCTCCTCCGCCTCCTCCTCCTCCTCCCCCTCCTCCTCCTCCTGTTCCTCCTGCTCCTCCTCCTGCTCCTCCTCCTGCTCCTCCTCCTCCTGCTCCTCCTTCTCCTCCATATGGCAGAACCAATTTCGTGAACATGTACAACGAATGCGAGGAGGCGATCGCATGGCCATGGCAGGTACTGGAAGCGATCATCATGCTGGAGCCGAAAGGTGACAGCCAACCTGGACATCATGCGGTCAGCACGGGCGGCGACAGAACACTGGCGCTACTCAATTGGTTCGGACGCTGTTGGGAACTGCTCAACCGTGAACAAGTACGAGAATGGGTAAAGGTCAAGATGCCCTGGGACGGAGCAGTGCCTGGGCAGAGCTGTTTGAGAGAAGCCATGCTGAGGATCATCGGCGGCGAGACCGCGGACGCGCTGGGGGCGACCACGACGGGCGCGCTCATCGGCATCGAGAGATTCTACGACAGCGTCGGGTTCGGCTTTACAGCGAAGGCAGCTCAGTACTACAGCTTCCCACCGCAGATCTTGGCTATGGCGATGCTCCAGCACATGACACCAAGACTACTAAGACAGGAGGGCTGCTACAGCGAGCACACGCTGGCCAGCAAGTCCCTACTAGCGGGCTCGCGCCACAGCAACAACCTGGCGGAGGCCCTGCTCTGCATCACGGTCAACCGGCACCTGAACGCAGAACCCAGCTCCGACCCGCGGATCGAACCAGCCTGAGAGCGACGGGGAGCACAACATCGGCAGGAAAATGACATCGTCAAGCACGTCACCTCGCTAAAGGAGCAGCTTGACATGAGCAACCTGAGGATGGCAGACAAGTCGGTGGTGTTCGGCCCCACGGCAAGGAGCACAGCCAACATCGTCAGGAAGCTCGCCAAGCACAACATCAAAGTAAAACCAGTCAACTAAGGACGCGACCTCGGGCTTGACAGAGGCGCGCGCCGAACCACCACGAGGAAGACACACCGTACGCGGGCGAGGAAGGCAGGCCGACGCTTCAACATGGTCGGTCGCAAGCTGAGGCAATTGAACACCAGGCAGATCAAGGGCATAGTAGTGCAAAGAACCATGGCATCAATACTCTACGGATGCCTTGCATACGGAAGCTCACCATCGGAGCTGAAGAACATCAGCAAGCAATACGTTAAGGCACTACGGAGAACCTGGACGGGGATATGCTTGAATACACGGCTTGCACTTAGAGGGCGACGATCCAGCACGGAAAGTACCACGAGCGCAACTCTCAGCATGGTTCGACTCATGGGCGCGACATCCCAAAGTACACGAGTCTGATCACAAAGCATGGCCAATCATCAAACGAAGAATGCAACAAGGCACCAGAAGGGGAAGATGGGAGAAAAGAAGACGCATCAACGGAAGCCTGATCCTGCAGCTGAGCGAGCTGGGCTGGGACCCGACATCACCTACGACATGGACAGACAGCATCGGAGACCAATTGGCCTTGGACGACAGCTACGAGGACCCGACCGACGCAATCATCCAGGTCATGAAGGACGTGGAGCGCAACATCTGGGAGACGGCAACTCGTCACCATAACGGTAAAAGGACTCGAACAAGGTGCAGATTTCACGGACGTCAAAAAGCAGATCAATAAGTTGAAGAAGGACGGACGGCAAGTATCAGGACTATGGAGCGCTGCTGGTTGCGCTATGCGAACGTACATGGACAGGAGCCCGACGAGCAGCAGCTTTCGGTACTGACGGCCTATGCACGTGTGGAGTGCTGGATACGGACTACCACAGAATATGGGAAACATGCTGCCATAATACCTGCCACAAGGACTACGCAGTCAAAGAGCACCTGACCAAGCAAGGCCAACGAAGGACCAGACGTACTACCAGCACTGTGGCTACGCGGCATACCACCTACGAGCTGGACAGTACCAGCAGAATGCACGACGGAGGACGCCATGCAGCTACCACTGAGCTACGAGGCGAAGAACGCGATCAAGCTCAAAGGCGTAGACGACCAACCACTATGCACATGTGGTGACGGCAGCGGGGGCAAATATGCGGCAGACAAGAGGTCCAGAAGATGCGGATGGGGCTGGGCTGCAATACGAGAGCACAACCTGGCCATCCTGCACGAACGACAAGGACTACTCCCAAGGGCAAGGCAACCCAACAACATAACAAAGATGTGCGCGAAGATCGACGCCTTGACGCACTCTACGGGAGACGTGAACTTCTGGACAGACTCCGACGTACTTTCCCGAGGATGGAGGAAGATGAAGCACCTCAACAAGGCATTCATAGGGACGAACGGCGACCTCTGGAGAAAGCTGGGACAGGCCATAGAACGCCGAGGCGACGCACACATCAACGTCAAGCACATCGAGAGCCAGCTGGACTGGGAGGCAGCGCGACTCAAGAAGTACCCAAGAGCAGCATGGGAGGGCAATAGACGAGCAAACGAACTGGCAGAAGGCGCAAAGGAACAGGCTAGCATCCCCAAGAGCGAGCAGGACTGCTACGACTGGGCCAACGCGGTGGGATACCTGATCAAAAGAAGAATATGCAGAGCAACGGCACAAACCACTCAGAAAGACCCTTCCATGGTCCTAGACGAGAAGCAGTTGCGCAGAGCCCAAAAGCAAAAGAAAAGGATAACGACAAAGCAAGGACGAAAACGACATGGAGCAGCTGTTCGCAAACACGATGCACAATATTATCCGCGACCAATGCAGATGGACATGCGATTATGTGCGGAATCATGTACGAACTATGGCTGCAACAAACATTCTACAATAGTGGCATGGAAAGAAATGCGGGCTGACATCGGGAAGAACTCGATTTCGACGAAACCAAATACTGGCAGGCACGACGGCTACGCACACCACGCACGACACGAGACATGCAACGAGGGCGAACATATGGTTATGCTGGCACTGCGCGGCAAGCCTGGCGAAACGCGAGGCGGACAACAGCCCGAGGATCAGCCAGAAGCTACAAGCCGCAAGTGACAGAGGGGCATCGAGAGGAACGGAGCACAAGCTGAAGGCCGACCAAAACCAAGCGGAAAAGGAATTGACACCACCGCATCATGCGGACAAAAAGATAGGCCACGCACAGCCGTACCGGAGGCCGACACGGACGCAGGGGTGGATAATCCTGGCCGAATCCAGGGAAATGGGCGCATGAAGAACAACAGGAGGTCGGGGAACCCAAAAGGGGGCTGCTCCGTCGCAAAGAAGAAAGAAAGTCTGGGGCCAAAAAGGGCTGCCAGTCGCAAGGAACAAAAGGGCTGACAGTCGCAAGGAAGAGAGAAGGTCAAAGGGCCCAGAAAAGGGCTGCCAGTCGCAAGCACGAGAGAAGGTCTGGGGGCCCAGAAGGGGGCTGCCCAGACGCAAAGATCGGCCGCGGGTTCGCGCTGCGCGGCCGCCGCGGGTCCGCGCGACGAGCGAGACCTGGGCACAAAGCCGTGGGCCTGGACGGGACAGGCGTCCCGAGCGACATCCACGAAATCCTCCTCCTCCTCCTCCTCCTCCTCCGCCTCCTCCTCCTCCTCCTCCGCCTCCTACATTCTACATTTCTCGCTATGCAGCGTCTTGTCGCGCGCCCCGCGGGCGCGGAACGCGCCGCAGCGGCCCTTCAGGGCCGTGCGGGCACTCGGACTGCGGCCCCGGGAACCCGACCCCGAGGAAAGCAGAGGGAACCAGGGACCAAGTTAAACCTCAGCGGAGGGAGAAGGGGGGCCGGGTTTCAGCAAAAAGAAAAAAGGGGGCCCGTCAGGGCCCACGGGCGGGCGCCGCGCGCGCCCGCGCCCGCGGGCGCCAGGCAGCGCGGCGCACGGCCAGGCCGTCGGCCTCTTTGTGGGCTGGCGGCCGCGTGGTGGCGGCTGGGCTCCCTTCGGCGCCTCGCGCTGAGCCCAGCCGCCGTGGGGTCTTCGGGTGGCTGGCTGCCCCCAGCTGCGGCGGCCTCCACCCTTCGGCGCAGCGCGCTGTGGAGGCTCGCCGAGCCGCTCGTGGGCTCCAGCAAGTCTGCAGCGGCTGCTCTCGTCATCATGCCGATCAAGGCTGACTGGCCTCGGCCCCTCGCATGCCACGCGAGGGCGACGGGGATACACCATTCGGCGCCTGGCGCTGTGTATCCCTCGCCGAGGGGCACGCCGCCCCTTCTCATCGAGTAGTCCATGATGTGCTCGAGCCTGCAGTGCTGCTTGACGCAATGGTGCTCGAACTTGTATCCCTCGTCCTAGCCGTGCTGGACGGGTTGGTACTCCTGCGTAATCCTGTCCAGTCGTGCTGGTCGTCCTGGTACTCACTAGCCGTAGTGCCCGATGTCGTCAGTCATGCCGCCCCCGCCTCTGCAGTACAGGAGGGTGCTGATCTCGGGGGTTGTAGCTGGCGGTCGTTTGTAGGGCTGAGTGTAGGGTGTGGAGCGTGCTGGTCAGGTCGTTGGGGGGTCGGATCGTTGCTGGTGTTGCGTTGGTTGTGGGCTTCCAAGGCCTCCATGCACCGACTTCAAGTGGGGGTCTTGGCTGTCCCACCTCGTCCCGCTATGGCTAGGGGTCACAGTGCCCTCGGTGGGGGCGAACCCCAGGCCTGGTACTTATTATCGTCGGAGTGGGATGTCTCGGCTGTCCTGTGCTTCGCCCTCGGGCGCTCGGGTAGCTCCTCCTTCTCCATGGGAATGGTGGGGGTGGCGAGCTAGGGCGGACCGCGGGGGCGCAGGTAGTGGCCGTCCTACCCCCCCCCCCTGCCCCTCACCATCCCCGCTGGTGGGCGCGGGAAGTACTCGTCCTTCCCCCCCGCCCTTCGAGCCCGTCTCGAAGTTTGATCCTCACCAGGACAGCGTTGACTTGACAAGAGGTGTGCGGGGTCGTGCTGGGTATGCTGTCGATGTCGGTCAGTAGTACGACGGCGACGTGTGGACCGCCCGCTGCCAGCC